TCCCCAGCACCTCTGTGGGGTGCAACAAGGTGCTTTAGGGCACACGAGTGATGAAACCAAAGACATGCGCAACTGAGTTCAGGTTAATGGCTTGGTCTGTGTCCTGCTGTAGGCACCCCTAGCGAATGCTGGTATTTGGGAACTTCTCCTGGCTGAGCAGTGCCCTGGGTCAGTCACTGGCTGGAACAGCTGACTGGGCCTGTAGAAATAGCCCCAATTACTCGTGTCATGTATTTCAGAACAGAGCAGTATTCAGTCCCCTCATCGGCTACGTGTGAGCAAGTTACCTTGTGTGCAGTTAGCTCCACGGGAGCCAACCCAAGGCATGGTGCACGTGAGTCAGTGGCCACGAGCATCGTGTTACATTGGGCTACCAGCGTCAGCCTGCGGCAGGAAGGGGGGGGAGGTTTGACTCTCCCATCTTCCACTTCCGGCTGCAAAATCCCAGAATTCTCCCAGGCTCTGGGTGCCTATTTCAGCTTCCTGGCACCGGCTGAATCCAGTAGGCGCGGCTCTGCTTCAGCCTAGAGCCCAGTCCCCCAGCACCAGCACGTCCATCCCAGGCCTGTCAGTGGCTACGGTCGGCTTACCTGCGGGAGGCTTTGGTGCTCCTCGGGGACTCATGCTGGGGTCCCAGGCGGATGCCCTGGGAGTGGGGTGTGGAGAAGGGATGGGCAAGGTCAAGGGACTTTTGGACTTAACTGCAGGGAAAAGACACTCCCCAGCTTACTTGGGGTGAGGCTTTTGCTCGTGGATGATGGGTATGAAGCCTGTAGCTGCCGTGTTTTCCCAGACTAGCATGAAGTCACTGCCCTCCCTCTGTTTATTACAGGGTTTTGCTGCATGGACTGTGCTTGCCAGGGAGGTGTGGCCTCTGAGAGGGGCCCAGGAGCGGGGTGTACTCAGCTCAGGGCACTGGGTGGGGTCTCCAGCTGGCTGCGTGGTGATCATTGGCTACTGATCCCAGCTGGGGCTGCTGCCAGTTCTGCCTGGCTCCACCTGTGGTGCTTTGTTTTAGAAGAGGGGGAGGAAATACAGCTGTGGGGCAGCATTTCCTAGCGCCCAGTGACCTCCCCAGGCCGCCCCGGCGGAGTGTCACTCTAGGTCCCGGCCTGGACAGGCGGCGGAGCCGTTCCAGCGCAGAGCGTCGCTCCGGGTCCCGGCCTGGACAGGCGGCGGAGCCGTTCCAGCGCAGAGCGTCGCTCCGGGTCCCGGCCTGGACAGGCGGCGGAGCCGTTCCAGCGCAGAGCGTCGCTCCGGGTCCCGGCCTGGACAGGCGGCGGAGCCGTTCCAGCGCAGAGCGTCGCTCCGGGTCCCGGCCTGGACAGGCGGCGGAGCCGTTCCAGCGCAGAGCGTCGCTCCGGGTCCCGGCCTGGACAGGCGGCGGAGCCGTTCCAGCGCAGAGCGTCGCTCCGGGTCCCGGCCTGGACAGGCGGCGGAGCCGTTCCAGCGCAGAGCGTCGCTCCGGGTCCCGGCCTGGACAGGCGGCGGAGCCGTTCCAGCGCAGAGCGTCGCTCCGGGTCCCGGCCTGGACAGGCGGCGGAGCCGTTCCAGCGCAGAGCGTCGCTCCGGGTCCCGGCCTCTGGGTCCCAGCCTGGCCCAGGAGTAACCAGACAAGTTCCACGCACCAGAGAGCTAGGGCAGGGGCCCCTTCTGTAGGAACAGCAGCTAGGAGCCAAGCTGGGCCACTTGGATCCTGCCAGGTGCATCGCAGGCTGGAGGTTAAGCCCAGCAATGGCTGTTAGCCAGGCCGGGCTTTGCACGGAGCCTCTTGTGGAGGGCTGGGGTCCATATGGCCTCCGCAGCGGAGCCCATGGGTTCCCACCTCGTCCCTGGCACAGCGCCAGTCTGTGCCTGCTTGGAGCTGGGCAGGACAGTGCAATTACAGCCTTGTAGAAGGTCCCCTCCCAGCTACGCTGCAGCCATCCCGTGCTGCTGGGGGGTCTCGCACAGAGCCTGAGTCCACAGGGTCTGGCAACCAGGGCCAGGGCCAGCTAATGGGTCTAGGAGCCCATGGGTTCCCACCTCGTCCCTGGCACAGCGCCAGTCTGTGCCTGCTTGGAGCTGGGCAGGACAGTGCAATTACAGCCTTGTAGAAGGTCCCCTCCCAGCTACGCTGCAGCCATCCCGTGCTGCTGGGGGGTCTCGCACAGAGCCTGAGTCCACAGGGTCTGGCAACCAGGGCCAGGGCCAGCTAATGGGTCTAGGACACTTGCTTGCATGGGGCGGGCATGGCTCCGACCGGATCCAGGAGAGACTCCTGCTGCCCTGTCGCGCTAAACCGACAACAGTCAGAGGTGCCCCCATCCACGTGTTCTTCCAAGGGACCCTGGACCATGCCGGCTCTGCAGCCAGGCTCCACAGCGAACCGGACAGACACGTGTAAACACAACCAAGTGCTGCCAAGGGGCCTGTGGACAGGTTCCCCCCAACACCCAAGACCCTGCTCTGGCAGTTTGTATGGGCAGGAGGAGGGAGGGATAGCTCAGTGGTTTGAACATTGGCCTGCTAAGCCCAGGGTTGTGAGCTTAATCCTTGCAGGGGCCATTTAGGGATTTCAGGCAAAAATTCATCAGGGATGGTACTTTGCCCTGCTGTGAAGGCAGGGGACTGGACTCAATGACCTTTCAAGGCCCCTTCCAGTTCTAGGAGACAGGCAATTTTTTTTAAAATGGAAAGGAGCTGCAGAGGAACACACGAGCTCACGGCACACCCAGACTAACCTCCACAGACAGAGCCCTAGGGCCCTTCCTGGCTCAGCACGGCATCCCAAGAGACCAAGCTGGCACACGCTGCTTGCATGTGGCAGGTTTATTTGGTTCACTCTATTAAAGCTATAAACAACGCTCCAGCCAACGTCTTTGGTAGCCAGCTCCACCAAAATGCAAGCCGGCCGGCCCCCTGCACTCCAGCAGGAAGCCTGGCTCCCCCTAGGGGCTCAGAGCAGGCAGCTAACAAAACGGATCGGTGCAAGGAGCCAGCCAGCCACACCCCAGCCCTGGGGCCTGCAGATGGCCAGGTGCAGGAAGCAGCAGCTCTCCTCCCCACCCGGGGGCGAGCGAAGGCAGTGCAGCATGGGGGAGCAGGCAGGCAGCCCCTACAGGCAGCACCATGGCTCAGTCAGAACGGGGACTGGCAAACCAGGAACACTGAGCCACGGTGGGGGCTGCCGCCTCCCCAGCAAGGGTGAGAGGCAAGAGGAAGAAGGCCTGGGTGGGCCTTTGTGAGAGCTGGAGCACTTGTCTACATGGGGTACACAAGTGGGCTGGCCTGGGGCAGCCAAAGGCTCAGCCCTTGGGGAGCCACCTGGGGCCTCCCTGACCAGGCCCCTGGCTGGAGGAGCCCCCAGCGTCAGGCAGGCTGGGAGATGCTGGTGGCCTCCAG